ATGTCCACACCACACGAAACATGTCCACACCACACGAAACATGTCCACAGTACACGTAACATATGTCCACAGTACACGCAACATGTCTACACATGCAACATATGTCCACACCACACGAAACATGTCCACATGTCCACACCACACGAAACATGTCCACACACACACGAACATGTCCACACCACACGAAATATGTCCACACCCACGAAACGAAACATGTCCACACGTACACACGTACAACATGTCCACACCACGAAACATGTCCACACCACGCAAACATGTCCACACCACACGAAACATGTCCACAGTACACGTAACATATGTCCACGGTACGCAACATGTCCACAGTACACGTAACACATGTCCACACCACACGAAACATGTCCACACATGTCCCACACCACACGAACATGTCCACAGGTACACCACATATGTCCACACCACACGAAACATGTCCCACCACACGAAACATGTCCACACACACGAAACATATCCATGTCCACAGTACACGAAACATGTCACACACACGTAACATATGTCCACACCACACGAACACGTAATATCCACACCACACGAAACATGTCCACACCACACGAAACATGTCCACATATGTCCACACAACGCAAACATGTCCACGGTACGCGAAACATGTCCACACCACACGAAACATGTCCACACGAAATATGTCCACACCACACGAAATATGTCCACACCACACGAAACATGTCCCACGAAACATGTCCACACGAAACGTAACACATGTACACGTAACATATGTCCACCACACCACACGATGTCCACACATGTCCACACACGAAACATGTCCACACCACACGAAACATGTCCACACCACACGAAACATGTCCACAGTACACGTAACATATGTCCACAGTACACGCAACATGTCTACACATGCAACATATGTCCACACCACACGAAACATGTCCACACCACACGAAACATGTCCACACCACACGAACATGTCCACTTCACACGAAACATGTCCACACCAACGTCCACACCATTCACGAAACATGTCCACATGTCCACACGTAACATGTCCACAGTACACGTAACATATGTCCACAGTACACGCAACATGTCTACACATGCAACATATGTCCACACCACACGCAGCATATGTCCACACTACACGCAGCACATCGCCACACCACGCAAAGCACGTCCTGTCTTGCTCCGTTCACTAAACCAAAGCTTCACACAAGTTCATTGCGGCGAAGGATAATTCTCGCTCACTGGGCAGTTTTACACGTCTTTTTTCAAGACACATTATTTACATTTTGCCCAGGCATGTTTAAACTACGAGCTTCTTCCTTGGAAATATGTAAACTATTGATTGAAAACAAATAAGTAGAAGCGGAAAGTGTTCCATCATGGCTGAAGCAGGTCTACATGTCAACACTCACTCTCATGTTGGACGAACACTTCTACAGGTGGGGGTGGGGGTGGGGGGTATGTGTTTTGCCTCAGGGTCTCAAAACAAGTATCTTAATTACTAACTGAACCAATGCTGATGTTGGCAGGGACAGGAATGAGAATTTCAGCTGTTAAATTGGACATCTTTATACATTGTACTCCTGGAAAAGGCAGCACGGGTTCGTAATCTATAAACTTTAATCCGTGATATGACTCAGATCGAGTCACACAGGGTCATGTTTTCATCAATATCTGGACAAATGTGAGTGAGTGAGTGGGTGAGTGAGTTTTACGCCGATTTTAGTAATATTCCAGCAATATCACGGCGGGGACACAAGACATGGGCTTTACACATTTTACCCATGTCAGGAATCGAACCTTGGTCTTCGGCGTGACGAGCGAACGATTTAACCAATAGGCTGGTTAAACCGCCCCCTCTCGCCCCCTCTGGACAAATGGAACCTGAACTCTGATAGTGAGGTCAATATGCAAGCGATGCAGTTGACCAATGTAATTTTCAAATTGATACTAAGTAAGATGAGAAGGGCGTGAACGGAGCTTTAAACTGTAGTCAATGTAGCTATATGACGGCAAGGAAATGACACATTTGAGAACGGAAGGTCGCAGGTCTTCACCACCTTGACCACGATAGGCCAAGCATATTAATCGGACCAACACTGGGATTCAAACAAACGACAAGTGTGTCCAGACGGTTCACGGAAATAGTTTCTGTGAATACGCCATTTGGCTTTATCTACGGGTAATACGTCGATGGTCTTTTGTTGACCGTTAGTAAGTCAATGGTTTGCCTACGGTTGATACGCCGCCATCTGTTTGTCGACTGTCGTTTGATTATGGTGAATAGGTTGATGGCGGATTTTCTATGGTGAATATGTCGATGGCCGTTTGTCTGTGGTGCATACGTCGATGGTCGTTTTGTCTGTGGTGCATACGTCGATGCTCGTTTGTCTGCGGTGCATACGTCAATGGTCGTTTGTCTAAGGTGAATTCGTCGATCGTCGTTTGATTGTGATGAATACGCCGATGGTCGTTTCTCTGACCGTATGTCAACGATGAATATAGGGATGGCCATATGTCAACGGTGAATATGTCGATGACTGTATGTCCACACTGAGAACGTCGATGCTGGAATGTCTACGGTACATGCTTCCGTCCTCCGTGACAACGTCGCAACAACCATCCGCTGGTCTCATAATACGTAAGCCACTGTGAGACTGAAGCATGTGTGAAACTGATAAGCTGGCGTTCATGTGTAGCTATTCCAGGTATTTACTATCGAACCACGTGTGAATTCACATTTCCGACACTGCTGTTGCAATGTTTGCCATGGAGAACGTGAAGCCATGCACGTCATAAAAAAAGGTCACATCGCTTTTAAAATGGAAAACCATTTTCAAATGGTTTCCAATACAAACTGAAAAACTAATTAAGATTAAGAAAATTAATGTTACAGTACTTTTTGTAAATACAGGAAAATGTTTTTTGATACTGAGAAGTACCAATAGCTTGCTTACAAGAATTTGTCAGAATTTGCTGCTTCAATATATACGTCATATATACATTATTATGATTGATTGATATAAACATTAGTAAGGATGATGTAAGCTACAAGCAGGGGGACGCCTGACAACAGCACAGTACCTAGGCCCGGTTAATTCCACAATGATAGATTTGCGCTAAGATCCCATACTTTAGAATTAGCTTAAAACAGTAGCACTAAGATTGCCTTCTACAACGGGGTACTGGATGACAGGTGGAAAAAGGCTGGACATAAAGATGGATAAAACATGAGCAATGGACATAACTGCATATATGGTCTAACTGGAAACAAACTCTACTGAGCTGCCGGACAAACGGAAGTACACGTCCATGTTTGATGGTGGTTCAAGATGAAACAAGAAAGAAATGGCTATTTGATTGTGATGCATTTGATGGAACATAAAATGTACAGTATTTCAGTGACTGTTTTCAGCCTAGTAACTTTTGGATAGCTTTTGTAATCTTACGGCAGTGTATGAAATAAGGCCCCGACCGCCCGAGACGGGTTAGATTTCAGACGTACGGTCTAGATTTTCAGCTAGCCAGCCCGATGGTCTGGTAAGAAATTTAAATGTTATATACATCTGAGTCACGTCTTGGTGTCTGGTCTGGTTAAATCCATTTTGGACTGGTAACATTTTGAAGTTACCAGCCCTGATGTCTGGCTGGGGTTTTGGCTTATTTCATACACTGGTAACTTACGGTCAAATCCATTTTAAGAGTATACTTTTTCGCCCTCTAGTGTATTACAGTTTACCGTTTTGACCAATGATACTTGTTTCATATGTGCATTTATCTTCCACGATGGGTTTCTACATGCTTGTTGTTGTGTTGCTTGTGCTTTTGAAAACAATATGTACCCTCGGGTTTAACTTCGCATACAACAAATATATTATTTATCGCTCAGTGAGATACATGTTTAAACATTTAGTAAGTTAAGCAGTATTCATGTACATGACTTGACGTGACTCATACTGAGAAATAGTTGAGTATAACAATCCTTGTCTTGACGCATGACTTGTTTTTCGAGACGAATCAATCTATATTCTTTGTGTCGTATATAAAATCCATTTAAAATCATCCCGCTTCCTGGTATTGGAACGTTACAATCGAAACACAGTGAGTAATAATTCGATCGCCGCTGAAAGGGTTTCAGTTGTCAACAAATAAATTGATTGTGGGGTATACGTTTCACGACATGTATTTCTTAAATGTACGGACAAGCCCTGGTGGAGGTAGGCCAGGGTACAACACAAATGTTCTCTTTAACCACGCCCCACGGTGTACTTAACTGGTGACAAGAAGCTCTTGAAAGGCATTTGCACGAACATGAATACATGACATCATTCACCTGATGAAGAAGCAAGAATTAGCTCTGAAACGTCATGTAAAAAGTATAAAGAAGTTGGTGTCCATACACAAGTGTCCTGTATTCAAGGTGACAATGCTTATCTAATTTAGCAACTAATTCCCCACAAGACAGTGCAAGTTAAATGAACATGGACAAGAAAACAGCGTGTGTAAACTTGCATTCTAAGCTCAGCTTCGTGGGATATATATACCACACATGTGCCTGTACACTGACTTCATATTTGATTTTGTACGTACTCACATACTGAAAAGGCATACAAGCTTTTGATTACGTCATGATTAAATAAACCGAGCAATTTTATCTCATTTTGGAGGCCATTTTGCCCAGTTTTACAAAAACTGAGGAATGTTTTGAACGTGTGTCAACATAGTGAACAGTCCGACAAACAAAATGTGTCCAACACGAAACATAATATACATAACCACACATAAGAATCTCTAGAAATGAAAGCGTTTGGTCAAGTGTCTATAAAGAATTCCAAGTTTATTAAGTTTATGACTTTAAATATATGACAGCACCCACAAAAAATATGCCGTGTCATCATAAGACTCTTTAAGAACTATAACAGAGTGAGAAGTATTGACACGAGGCAGGAGACTGGTGTAAGAGCAATTGGTCAGTATGGAGAACTTACCTTCAAGAACCTTTTGGTCGATACCCAGTCTTTGCCTGAGTTCGCGCTCTCTTTTTTTGTCCTTGGATTTTTTCCCTAAAAGACTCATATTTGTTTCTAAGAGAGTACACCCTCCGCTGTTGACTGTCACAGAGTTATAAAGCTCATTGCCAGGTAAAAGCTACAATCACGTGACTATGGCCGATTCCCCAGGACGCCGTTACTATAGCGACGCTGTTCGGGAACGTCCCACGTGAAAGAGATCGATAGATGCCGAGAAAGTTTTCGTGTTTCTGTTGTTATTCTCGAGTCTAAGTACTTCCTGTACCTAACCTACTGAGGTGTCGAGCTAAGTACCCTATAGATATGCTGGCGATGACAATACTCGATCGAGGCGCTCCACGTCGCCTTCAGCACGGGAAGAACCGTCACAGGATATTGATTGATTTTTCGAAGTGATCGTGTGATCCTGGTTAACACACCGATGTAGTCGCGAAAAAAGAAACTAGCTTGCTGATTGTTGTCAAAGAGCCTTGGAATCGATCGTCACAGAAGTAACAAGTTTCCCAAGTCGTAAACATGTCATCGTGAGCAGGCGGCGATGTCACCAGCTAGCCTGCCTTTCAGAGTCTATAGGGTTCTTGAGTTGGTCATGAAGGGGGTATATCGATTCGGACTATAAGCGGTTCCGGGACAGCCTATGCTGAGGTTACTAGGGATATTATTCTGTAATGGAAACAATATAAGAAATACTCCGATAAATGTTACAAAACAGAACAAACATTTGACAAAAAATTGTATAAGACATTATAAATAATAATCTTGAAAATTAAAAATTGCTTTAAAGATTATCATTCCTATTGTCTCTGCTTTCAAGCAACGAGTCGTTCGTGTGTCTGGGTGATGGAACATATTCCACGGTAATCAAGAAACAACTCATCGTGACATCAGGTGAAGTGAGGTGGAAGCGGTCTAATGTCATGTTGAAGATTATTTCACTTATGCACCGAAATTATTTCTTGAAATCGTTTGCAATGACGACAAGCGTTTGGAGTTTGGTCCATGCTGTGCCTCACGAAGACCCTGCATCAGACCCTCATACTTTCAAGGTAACATGCTAAATCCCACGTGACATCACTCGTGTTTCAATAGGCGAGCTTTGTGTGAGTCGTATTCTTATGAACCATTCACGAAATATTCTAGGAATAGGTATTAAAGCGAGGTAGTGAGTGAGTGAGTTTAGTTTTACACCGCACTCAGCAATATTCCAGCTATATTGCGGCGGTTAGTAAATAATGGAGTCTGGACCAGACAATCCAGTGATCAACAGCATGAGCATCGATCTACGCAATTGGGAACCGACGACATGTGTCAACCAAGTCTGCGAGCCTGACCACCCGATCCCGTTAGTCGCCTCTTACGACAAGCATAGTCGCCTCTTGTGGCAAGCATGGGTTGCTGAAGACCTATTCTAACCCGGATCTTCACGGGTCACTCAATCTGTTGGTGAGCTTACATAATGTTTCTATTAAAAGTAACCCCGTGGACTTAAGATACATTAAATTACTCCGTTTTCACACCTACTGAATAAATAACGAATATTGGTTATTCTCAAACATAATAACATACTCCTCTCACTTCGCTTTGATACTGACCCGTGAAGATCCGGGTTAGAATTGGTCTTCAGCAACACATGCTTGTCGTAAGAGGCGACTAACGGGATCGGGTGGTCAGGCTCGCTGACTTGGTTGACACATGTCATCGGTTCCCAATTGCGCAGATCGATGCTCATGCTGTTGATCGCTGGATTGTCTGGTCCAGACTCGATTATTTACAGACCGCCGCCATATAGCTGGAATATTGCTGAGTGCGGCGTAAAACTCAACTCACTCGCCAACAGATTTAGTAGCACATTAAGCGCTGTTAGAGATTTTTACATTTACATAGCCCCCACCCCACCTCTGCCATTGTAAAAGTTAGAATGTACATTACAGACACTTCATGTTGGCATCGTAGGTAGTACCATTGCTCTAGGTCATTTTCCCGTTCAGTAGAGAAAATCAGGAAGTACTTTCTTCTTCGAGATGGTGCAATTCAAGTAGAAATTCTATCACATAAGCCATTCAATCTTCCACAAAGTGCTCTTGAAATTCCTGCACTTTTAATATTTAATGGTTGAGAAGTGGACATTAACACATTGGCCACGTTACTAATCAGCTGCGTAGCTGTACTGGCGTTGTTTGCTCGTTATTTCTGTTGTCTAGCTGTCTTTTGAAATTTAAATGTGTGTTCGACACTCAAAATTTAAAAAGAAAAATCATTTCTAATTTAAAAGTGTCATTTTGTCATACAATTTTTAGTACGCTCATATCAGTTATTTTTCAGCCTATTGTTTTTTAAGCCTTGGGGTTAAAATCGGCTGAAAGGTCCATTATATACTAGGCACATAAAGAAACTGTGCATACAAAAATTAAAAACCTAAATTTATCAAACCTGTGTAGACACATAAGGATTTAAACTCAGAGATTAGTGACATGTATCCAACATGCATGCACGTGCCACGTTCCGTGACGTCAGTGGGTTCGTCCTTGAGACGTGCAATACGTTGTTGCACGTGCATTCCGGGAAAGAGAAACAGACCAAATGAATGCCACACAATACTGTCACTTTGGAAAGCTCAACCCCTGCCCTTGCGATCGTTCAAAAAAACATTAAACGGCTATTGAAACGCATAGCATGCCAAGGCTCACGTCTGCACAACGTCATGAGGCCATTGGGATGGTCCGTGGGGGAATGTCTCAACGACAAGTGGCTGCACATTTCCACTGCCACCGGAACACCATTTCTGCACTGGTCAGACGCTACCAGAACACAAATGACGTCATCGATCGGCCACGTTCTGGACGTCCACGTGTAACAACGCCAAGACAGGACATATGGATAAGGGTGACCCATCTTCGCCACAGGTTTCAGACTGCAGTGATGACTGCCCGAACCATCCCAGGACTTCGCCGTATCTACCCCAACACAGTTCGACAACGTTTACGTCATCACGGGATCAGACCACGACGTCCCGCCATACGGCCTATCCTGACACAACGTCATCGACAAGCTCGCCGAATGTGGTGCCAAAGTCATGTCCGCAGACCCTTGTTTTGGTGGAGAAATGTTGAGTCCAGTTCCCATAGTGATGGACGTCAACGTGCCCATAGGCGCGTGGGAGAACGTTATGCACAGGCCTGTGTCTTGGAGAGGAATCGCTTTGGTGGTGGTTCCGTGATGATTTGGGGCGGAATAACAGCACGCCAAAGAACTCCTTTGGTGATTGTTCAGGGCAACTTAACTGGTGTGGGCTACAGGGATCAGATTCTTCGACCTGTGGCAATTCCTTTTCTGCAACGTCATGGCCCTGGGTTAACATTCCAACAGGACAATGCCCGCCCTCATACGGCAAGGGTTGCTATGGATTTCTTGCAACACCACAACGTTGACTTACTGCCTTGGCCTGCAAATTCACCGGATCTCTCCCCGTTAGAGCATGTTTGGGACGAGATGGATCGACGTCTACGCCGTCTTCCTCATCCGCCAGATAACGTCCTTGACCTTGCAACAGAAGTTGACAGAATCTGGCGTGACATCCCACAAGCCTTCCTTGCACGTTTGATAGGCTCTATGCGTCGTCGATGCACTGCTGTTCTCAATGCCGATGGTGGACATACCCGTTATTGAGCTTGTGACATGGTCGTTTGAGCCCTGTCCCGCTTGTGGACTCGTGACGTCATTGTGATTGACTTTTCAAATGAAATTCTCCCGACTTGTTATGGTCTCATGATCCCTCCATTAAAGTTTATATGTACCTTTGACATTGTTATCGTACTTATCAACTGGGATCATATTTTGACAATGCACAGTTTCTTTATGTGGCTAGTATACTTGGGGAAATTCAGAATTAAGAACATGACTTTCAAACGTGCAGTTCCGGCTAGTATATCGGAGTGTGTGAAAGAGTTAAGTTTTAAGCCGCTTTTAGCAATATTCCAGCAATATCACGGCGGGGGACACCAGAAATAGGCTTCACACATTGTACCCATGTGGGGAATCGAACCCGGGCTACCCCATCGCCCCTATTATATTACAAAGATTCTGTAACACCCGAAAGGAGCGTCGTGACAGAAACGACAACAGAATCCTGGCACATACAAAGGACGCAACCGCACCTGGGACGTTATGCCGCATCTAAGACAAGTCAGCCATCCATGCCAGGCCTTGAAGTACATTCTGACAATTCTGGAGTCAGTGATATTAGAACCAGTTTCATAGATTACATAACAAAAATATCTTCAGCAATAAAACCCTCGAACCTCAGTCTTCAGCAAAGATTTTATACATTCACCTTTATTATTCTGAAATTGAATTTGACACCGCTTGTTCACGTGGTATAGAGGACAACAATGAAACATGATGTTCACGGATACTACACCCGTGGGAATCAAACCCAGTTTACGCCTAGCAAGCAAACACTAAACAACCAGGTACCCTTCAGTCTAATAGGTATTGACATATCACCAGCTTTTGTCTTCCAGCAACAATGCGCTAATTTGTTTTTAACGGTATATCTTGTGATGAACATTAACAGCGACGCTCGTTAACTCACCGTGGAACAACACATACTGATGTTCTACACATGTTTCAATACAAAGTGTAATGGAAAGGCAACATGAAATATTTATCATGCTCATGGTCAACCTATCATCACGAGGACATCGTTTGTTGACTGTATTGCTATGTGCGTATGAAGTGGAACACTTTTTTCATCATGCATGAAGTCCTATCTTTGAGGTAGTCAGGTGTTGGCTTCAGTTCACAAGGATAGATTTAGAGCTCTTTGTATTTGGATCAAATTGGTAGTTAAATATATATCATTAATGGTAAATATCGATAAAACATACGCATGAAAGTACGGGTCTATAATGACAAATCCGCCGCACAGATGGCAGGATTAGAACGGTTCCTGATCGTTAAACGCTGGCGAAGTTTATCGGAAGTATTTTTTCCAAGGGTCGATGCATGGGCCCACGTGAGTGTAGGTCAAAAGATAGTGTGGACATTGTCCACTCCCTTGGTAAGGCCTGAGGCAGGAAAATGGTTTTCACGGGGCTTCGTTCTACTCAGAAATGTGCGTAAATAGGTTCAACTTTCAGAATGGGCGCAGAAAAACATGTAAACTAATGTACAAAAGAAAGTACACACCTGGTGTTTTGGAATTGTCTTTCCCAACAGAAAAGGGTAAATATTTGGAAAAGTCTTTTGATAGTGACTTTTAAAATATCGTAAAAATCGTGATTGTGTTGAATCGCACGTATACAGCCAACAGTATGAAACACAGTCGACCGAAATTGT